GAATTAAAATGATACTTTGATATTGCTGACAGGATAATAGGGCTGGTACCCGACCCGAATCATAAGTGGGCATCTGACCCGGCATCACATGGGAACCCAACGGGCAAAACCCCAACGGACAAAACTCCAACGGTTAGGAATTCCAACAGGTGTCACCTTTACTATCATTGAAGCCAGCATTGAAGCCACCATTGATGAGAGGGAATTAAAGGCTTAGGCTCCCCCATTTATGTCCCATGTTGTTACCGTTAGGACTCTAGTATAAATGGGGCTCTCCTCAGTTAGCAAAGGGGACGTTCAATACTCTGGACAAAGACACATTGTACTTTCTATACTAAGACACTAAGGCAATACAACTATTGTCACTCTTTCACACAGCGTTATTCTAATATTATTATTACCGGTAACATTTTTACAGTCATTGGTGCTTTCATTGAGAGCCTGAGTCCAATACTCAAGCAGGCGACTACACACACAACTCATTCCTCTTTCAACAGCAAGCTTGAAAGATGGTGTCCCGCAGCTCCCACGGATCCCACAATGTGAACAATGGCAATGCCTCAGGTGACCTCCGGGACCAACTCACCAACAATCGTGGAGGGGACCTCCGAGAACAGCTCAACAACGGGAGGCCCGGGGACCTTCGAGACCAACTCAACAATGGAGGGGACCTTCGAGACCAACTCAACAATGGAGGGCCGAACCAAGTTGTGAATCTCCAGGCGACCATTCAGCAAGCAGTGATGGCAGCGCTAAATCAGGTGGCGGTGGGACTGCAAGGCCAAGTGCCCCCGCCGCGGCTCCATGAAATAAGGGTAGAGACCTAAAGAAGTGGACCGGCCAGACGACAACCAGGCCCTTCCCAATTTGCACCAGAACGATTGGGACAGAGGGCGCCCGTGCGGCAAAGATTAGGATCACGGGCCGAGGGGTCCTCTGCCAGAGGCCCTCGCCAATACGAAAACAGAGAAGCCGAGAGATCACCCACAGAGGAGGTGGGTGAGTCTCGGGAGCCGACCCCACGCCTACACGTTGATGAGTCGGCCATACGTCGACACTTGGAAGAGCAACATGTTGATGAGCCGGCTCCGCGTCGGCACTCGGCGGAGAAGCGACGCGCTGAGGAGCGGGTTCCACACCGACACTTGGATGGACGGAACGTCGAGGAACCAGTTCCGCGTCGACATTCAGATAGACGGCACGTCGATGAACTAGCTCCACGCCGACACACGGAGGAGCGGCAGCCGGCCCCGCGGTGGCACCCGGACGAGTCGGCCGTGGTCGAGAGGCTGCAGAGAAGAATCGAGGAGTTAGCAAGAAGGGTGGAGGCACGGGAGCAGTTGCCGGAACCCGAGGTACGGATGGCAGCGCCATTCTCCCCAAGCGTCATGGATGTACCTTTGCCAAGGGACTTTAGGTTGCCCGCCATCAAGGAGTACACGGGGGCCACTGACCCACGTGTCCACATGACGAGGTACAAGGCTGCTATGGTAATGATCGGGGCAGGGGACGCCATCATGTGCCGAGCGTTCTTGTCCACCCTGGATGGAGCGGCCCAAGACTGGTTCAATACCATCCCGGATAGGTCGATCCAAAATTTTGGGGAGTTGTCCAAGAGCTTCCTGACATATTTCTCTGGTAGCATACAGCGTAAGAAGCCCTTCTCTCACCTCTGTGTAGTGAAGCAAGATAGAGGCGAGAGCCTCAAAGACTTCATGATAAAATGGAAAAAGGAAGTCAATAATGTCTACGACTTCGACTCCAAGGCGGCGATCCCGATATTTATCCATGCCTTAAGATCAGGGTATTTCCACAAGCAGCTGAACGCCCACCACCCCTGCTCTTACGAAGATATGATAAGGACGGCTAGCCGCTATGCCGAAGCAGAGGACGTCGACAGGAAGAAGAAGGATGAAGAGGATGGTAGGAAAGGTGGGAAGCCTGGGAAAGTGGGTCCGCCCAGCCAGGCGTCACTCTCGAACCACCCAACCGCAGGGAAAGGCCGAGACCACGAACGACCTCGCCTGGTCCCCTTGCGTAATTTAACTTCTCTTACCCATCCCGTCAGTGTCATTCTAAAGCAAACTGAGGAGATGGGAATGATGAATTCCCCGAGGAGTGCATGAAGGTCTCCCCAAAGTCAGACCAAACAAAGTACTGCAGGTTTCATAGGAAAGCCGGCCACGATACGGATGAGTGTCACTTTTTGAAGAGACAAATAGAAGAACTCATCCAACAGGGCTACTTCCGACATTTCGTCAAGCGATCCAAGCAGCAGCAACAGCCGCAACACAATCCACCAAAAAATGTCTGGAGGAATGAGGATGGCACCGAGTCGTCCACCTCGAACGCCAAAAAAAAGAGACCATGACCAAATATCTGAGCAGAATGATAGCGAGAAAGAAACCGAGGTGGCGCTCAGATGACAAAAGAAGCACACCATACACTTTATCTATGGTGGACCCGCAGGAGGCGACACGCCCACGGAAAGAAAGAAGTGGAGCCGGCAGCTATACGTGGGAGAAGTGGTGAGTCTTCCCAGAGAAAAGAAACAGAGACAGGAGGTCATCACCATCTCTGATGATGACCTCCCAGAGGGCCCGTTACCACATCGTGACGCCCTAGTGATTGAGATGGACGTCAATGATGTCATTGTCCGTCGCATCTTAGTTGACACGGGAAGCTCAGTCAATGTGATGTATTACGACGCCTTCACCAAGTTAGAGATACCTAGAAACCAGCTCAACGAAGTACGTACCCCACTCTCTGGATTCAATGGCAACGGAGGGGTCAGTGGTCTTACAGTAGAGATAGGCACGAGCCCTAACATTCGCAAACTCGACGTGGAATTCATCGTGGTAAGACTCACTTGTGCGCACAACATCATATTAGGGAGGCCGGCACTGGAGAACCTCAAGGTCATAGTGTCGGTGGAACACTTGTGTATGAAGTTCCCTACTCCGAATGGGATAGGGGTCATCAGAGGAGACCAGCGAGCGGCCCGCAGTTGTTACGTTAAAGCATACAAAAAGATTGGCAAAAAGGATCTACAAGTCCACATCATCTGCAAGGATGATCGATCGGGTATGAAGCTCGAAATATTTGATTAATTATTTTTCTTAATATTCTGGTAGTCATTTGAGACTAGTGTTTGGTAATCGCGGTCCGCCCATGTTGTTTCAAAAAAAAAAAAAGGGACCGGGTTGCACGCCTCTGCCACAGGTTGGCCGAGACGTGACTCGACTCGGATGGCCGAGGCACCCGCCTCGCCCACAGTTTGGCCGAGGCCCGCCTCGGACACAGTTTGGCCGAGGCACGCCTCGGCCAACACCGAAGTCCGTCTCGGCAAAAATAAAAAATAAAAACAAGAAAAACAATAGGTCGGAGCCTGCCCCGGTCACGATCGGTCGAGGCGCACGCCTCGGCCGCAATCCGTTGAGGCAACGCCTCGACGACCGAGGTGCACACCTCGGCCACGAGCGGTCGAGGCGACGCCCCGGCCACGATCGGTCGAGGCGACGCCTAGGCCAACGCCGAAGTCCGTCTCGGGAAAAAAAAAAAAATAGGCCGGAGCCTGCCCCGGCCAAGATCGGTCGAGGCGCACGCCTCGACCGCGATCGGTCGAGGCGACGCCTCGGCCACGATCAGCCGAGGCGCACGCCTCGGCCACGAGCGGTCGAGGCGACGCCTCGGCCACGATCGGTCGAGGCAACGCCCCGGCCACGATCGGTCGAGGCAACGCCCCGGCCACGATCGGTCGAGGCGACGCCTCGGCCACGATCGGTCGAGGCGACTCCTCGGCCACGATCGGCCGAGGCGCACGCCTCGACCACGGTCGGTCATGGCGACGCCTTGGCCACGGTCGGTCGAGGCGAAGCCTCGGCCGCGATCGGTTGAGCCGATGCCTCGGCCACGATCAGTCGAGGCGATGCCTCGGCCGCGATCGGTCGGAGGCATGCACCTCTTCCAACCTAGGCCAAAGCCTGTCTCGGCCAGCATAAAAATTAAAATAAAATCATATGTGATTTGTAAAATAAAATCACATACTCAGGATCAACCGGTATTCTACACGATATCAAGCAAATTCAGTCTTACTCGGTAGTCAACTCAAACACATTCGTTGACTCAGAAGTAGGGGGGACTGGTGACAGGATAATAGGGTTGGCACCCGACCCGGATCATAAGTGGGCATCTGACCCGGCATCACATGGGAACCCAACGGGCAAGACCCCAACGGACAAAACTCCAACGATTAGGAATTCCAACAGGTGTCACATTTACTATCATTGAAGCCACCATTGATGAGAGGGAATTAAAGGCTTAGGCTCCCCCATTTATGTCCCATGTTGTTACCGTTAGGACTCTAGTATAAATGGGGCTCTCATCAGCTAGCAAAGGGGACGTTCAATACTCTGGACAAAGACACATTGTACTTTCTATACTAAGACACTAAGGCAATACAACTATTGTCACTCTTTCACACAATGTTATTCTAATATTATTATTACTGGTAACATTTTTACCGTCAATTGCTATAATGAAACTAGTGTGTGTGGAAAATGAAACTGAAAAACAGAGCAATCTTGTCAAATAAAACTGAAGTGTAATTAAAATGATACTTACTTGTATTAAAAAAAAATGCTACTTACTTCATGGACCACACTGCTACATGCACCATGGTCCACAGTAAAATTTTCCGCTCAGGCTTGAGCCTAACAAAAAACCTACATACAGGCTCAGACTCCGGTCTAGGCCTTAGATTTTCGTAACAGGCCCATGCCTAATTTTAAAAAGCTCGGTTCGGCTCGGCCTATTTCCATCCATAATCATGATTTACGTATGTATTTCTATATTTATTGAGTTGCCATTGTGTTACACATATTGTACTATTATGTTTATCGAGCAAAATTATCTTGCACGGTTAAACTTCCGTTAATATATATTAAATATTACTATAATTATATTTAATCATTTACTATATCTAAAAATTTTACTTTAACAATTATTAATCATACCATAATTATTATCCAAATTATCACCTATACTTTTTAATATAAGATGAATTCTACAACTATGTATTATTTTAAAAAAATTTTATATACCACTTCGTATTAGTTAAAAAATATTTCAAATATAACTAAGATTTTATCTTGAGCGTTAATATTGGACATCTACTTTTGCGCATCGTGTCGTTAACCAAAATAAATATTTTCTTTTAACTTTATTTCTTTAATAGCCAAATACAAAAAAATTAAAAAATACTCTCCAAAATTACTTTTCAAATTTTCATATAGAGCCTATCTCACATAACCTTTAAGAAGAAAATCCTATTACGATATTCTCACATCTCGTGAACCAAATCATCCCTAATATTTGCTGGTCTTAATGGGATTTTTGCCATAGTTAGTATAAATACCTGCGGAGTATATTATACGACTATACATCATATGTACCCAAAAAGAATAAAATAAATGTGCATCAATAGTCATACTCTATAAAAACATTGCCTTTGGATTTGGAGTGTGATCTCATCTATCACAGCGCACAACAAAAACATCAATTCTCCAGTATCTTTGTACTGTCTTCTATCTCTATCTCCTCCGCGAACGCTTGATTCACACGGCGACGGGTACTTTCTACTTTCATTTCTCTTTTTGTTCATTTTTTTTTTGGGGGTACAATTTCTTATTGTTTTCTGATTAAGTTTCTTCGGAGCGATCAGTGACCGCTGCTCTCACTGTAAAGATTTAACTCTGATTTCAGTGGAAACAGATCAAGTCATTTTATTGGTTTTCTCTTGGTGTATTTTTGCTTTCTCGAATCATTTTGCTTAGTGGGTATCGGCTTATAATCATTGTTGGTCATGCCATGATGTTTTTTTATATGGATCAGCGAACTTAATGGATTTTTCCTACTTTTAATTAGATCAGTTTGTTCTTTGATCTGGGTATTTGTTAGTTATTCGATTACAACATATTTCAGTGTATCTTCTGCAATCTGCAGTAGTTTTTCTAATTTCTTTTTTCTGTTCTTTTTTTTTTTTTTTTTTTTTTTTTTTTTTTGTAAATTAAAAAAAAAAAAAACTAAAAACTTTATTCAATTGAGTGATACCTTGATTTACGCGGTTGGTGTGTGGGTGGGGATGGAGGGCATGCAGTCTTCAACAAGCCCATTTTTTGCTTGTGCTTATTGATTATGTGTTTATTTTGATTTAAGACTTGACCATATGAGAATTTTATAGATTTTATAGATTGCAGGTATGTTTGTTGCTGTTATCACATATCTGAAGTTAAAGAATATAACTTGTTATTATTATTATTATTATAATTATTTTATTTTAAATTTATTTCATCATATATACACACTAGTATATGGTAAACTGTGATTTTCAGACAACCTGTTTGATGGTTGGAAGTTGAGAGCCTATGGTGAACTATAAGGGCCCAACTAGTTTCTTATTTACAAGTATGTTGAATCATAAGGGTCGGGTCAGTTCTAACTTTGCACATTGCATTTTTAAGAATGTTATATCTTTGACTCTGTGAAATGGGAATATATGTGCCCCAGTGTACTCCCATATCTTGGTTTTGTTCTTAATAGGAAGTTAGATGATGAAGGAATGTAAAGAGTTAAGTCCAGTTGGATGAAGTGGAGAAGTGCAAAGTTATATTTATATGTGACAATAAATTGTATGTAGAGGTGGAAAAAAATTCTTTAGAATGGTCATTAGGCCAGCCATGCTTTACGGCCACAAGTGTTAAGTTGTGAAAGGCAAAATGTGCATAAAGTGGTTGTAGTTACTAGCTAAATGGAAATGCTAAGAGCCTAAGGCATGTGTGGAAATACAAGAAAGGACAATATTAGAAATGACCTTATTTGGAGCAAGGTAGAAGAGTTGCCTATTTGAGATAACTTTGGAAATGTGCAACAAATTAATATGGACACGCCAACTAGAAAGTATTATAACGTGGTTCAAACTAGTAATAGGAGATACTAGGGGGAGAGGTAGACGAAAGCCATCTTGGATTGAAGTTATTAAGAAAGAAATCCTAGCTCAAGTGTTGATGAGAGATTTAACATTTGATATAATTGAATAGAGAACCAGAATCTGCATAGGTGAGTCACACTATTGGGATTAGAGCTTTTCCTGAAAAGCAAGAAAAGCCGCAGTCTGTAATCATCTTTATGCGATAGTTTATTATGTTCTGAAGTTTGTAGGCCTTTAATCTGAACCTTCCAAGTTCTATCTGGATAGAAAATGCATTAACTTGGAACATTTCAAATTCTAGTTGTTAAGTAATTACTTAAATCTTTTTCTCTGATACGTTGTGTAATTTGTGGTATATTATTAGATGGCAACAGAGGCAGAAAGTCCTGCTACCACTGTTCCTGTTCCAAGTGCGCAAATAGTTGGTAATGCCTTTGTGGAACAGTACTATCATATTCTACACCATTCTCCAGAACTAGTTTACAAATTTTATCAAGATTCAAGCATCCTAAGCCGACAAGACCCAAATGGAGTGATATCATCTGTGACAACAATGGAAGTATGTATTTCAGTAATTTCCTTTCTTTGTTCATATTGTGTTCAGTGTTGGAAAAACATGCCCTTCATCTTCACTATCATCATTGAGTGTGAATATAGCTGAATCTTTGAAGCACAATAGCACAATTAAAATATTCTATAGCACTTTAGGACTTTGAGGTTCATCCATATTTTCATTGATTTGTTTAAAAATTTTGTTCACCTGCAATCTTGACATTTACATTTAGCTAATACTCTAATAGCTATCATGTTGACATAATGTGTCTTCTACTTGTATTGGTTTTTTGAGTATTTATAAGTTGTATGATATAATTACTGTCTTAATTTTTTTTGAAAGCTACTGACTCTATTACATTGTAGTATCTGTTCATCTATACTGTCTTAATTTAGTTATTGGTTACTTTTAGTAAAAGTTGTTTGATCTCCAACTTGATTAGGCAATCAATGAAAAGATATTGTCCCTGGATTCGAAGAACTACAAAGCAGAGATTAAAACTGCAGATGCTCAGGATTCTCACCAGGCTGGGGTGATTCTTTTAGTGACGGGGTGTTTGACCGGAAGGGATAATGTGAGAAAGAAGTTTACTCAAACATTTTTTCTAGCTCCACAAGAGAAGGGATACTTTGTCTTGAATGATATTTTTAGATATATTGAAGAGAATGAAGCTGTAGAGAATATCTCTGAACCAGTTAATGCTGTAAATGAAGCTAGTCAGGTTGCAGTATTACCGTCTGATCCAGGTATAATTTGTTTTCTTTAAAACAAGTATCGAGAGTAAGTATGCAGCTATTTGTCAATATCCATAACTATGCTCGTGTCCTAATCTGTTCAGAGCCCGTTCATGCTCCTGATCATTCTACATATGATCCTGCAACTCCTATAGCATCTGAGGAGTTACACAATGGTCCAGAAGTTTGTGACCCCTCAGATAATGAGGAAGGATCAGTGATTGAAGAAGAGGTTCTTAATGAACCCCAAGTTTATTCAAGTCAAAAAGAAACTGATATTGTTGACAGTTCAGATCCTTCTGCTGCCCAAGAGGAGAAAAAATCATATGCTTCGATTGTAAGTTTTTCTGCTTAGTTCTCCTCTTCTTGTGACTTCCGTTCTTAGTATTCTTTTCCTTTACAACTGTGGAACAATGATTTTGATAATTCTTTTCACAAAAACCATATAGGTGAAGGTCACTAAGGCGGCTACTCGTACTATAGCCTACGTTCCAACATCTAGCACCCAGGTGGCAACTGTAAAATCTGATCAACAAGCGCTTGGGTCTGAAAAGCCTCCCACTGAACCAGAACCTTTGGCTCCTTCAAATGACAATGCTCCTGAAAGTAGCAATACCCACGAGGAAGGTATCTACTCAAGTTGACTAGTCGGGAGAATTTAAGATAGCATTGATAGTAGATGGAGTTTATAATCTCAGGATACATGAAACGCTGACACAATTCTAGAACAAATCCCAAAGCATAACCAGTTTGGTTGGCATGAGTGGCCGTGCACTCTTGTCTCTTAAGAGAGGTCGGGAGTTCGAACCCCCTCTTGTATGGAAAAACCAATCTGGCCAGAACTTTGCCCCTTAATTGGGCCGGCCGGTGCGAACGGGAATTAGTCTGGGTATGGTACGGGCTTAAAGGTGCCTCTTATAGTTAGGGCCTGCTCAGGACACCTTTTACCTGAATTGTATATTTAGCTCACTTTTTGCCTTGGGGGTTGTAGGTTACTCCATTTATGTGCGGAACTTGCCCTCCACTGCAACAGCTGGACAACTTCTGGAGGTTTTTAAGAAATTTGGAGCCATTAAGCATAATGGTATTCAAGTCAGAAGTAATAAGGTGCAGTTCAGACAAATCATGTGCATTTTCTGTTTTATTCAAACCTATATACATCACTTATATGTTGCTTACAAGTTTTGTCTTTGCTCTCAGCAGCAGGGATTTTGCTTCGGTTTTGTGGAATTTGAGTCTATGAGTGCTATGCAAAATGCAATAGAGGTAATAACTTGGTAACATTTCTCGTGATGATTTCATTTTATGAAGGCGGCATCCTTCTACAGGATCCAACCAGCTCTATTTAATTATTAAAAGATCAAAGCCTAATAATGCTTTTGTGATTTTCGCTTTGTGTTTATGCCTTGGATTCTTAGCTTTGCCATCTAATGCCAGAAATTTTCAGGATGCCGTTTTTTTTTTGTTTTGTTTGATCTCGTGCTCCTTTAATGGCTTAAACGTGCAGCCAGCTTATCAAAATCACTTATAAATATTTCGACTCATCGAAAGAGATTGATCTGTTTGATCAAGAGAGAGCAGATAACTTTAATCTTTGACTAGGATCAATGCAGCTAAGCCTTAATCCTGGTTCAGTTGAGTTTGGTTGATTTATGGATTATATTACTCCACCAGTCCACCATTTCTGTCTAATACTAACTCAGTTGTAACCCATTGTACTAAGCAGAGAGAAGCTGAAGAACCATAACATTAATTTGTTTAGCTTCCCCTTATTTTGGACAAGTCTAAAATAGAACCACTCATGCCACGTGTATTCTTCTCCCAAATAGGGATGGCAACAGGGCGGGGGATCCCTGTCCCCGAAACCCCGACCCGTCCCCGTCCCAGTCCCCATCCCCGGTGGGGAATTGAAAATAATCTCCATCCCCATCCCCGCGGGGAATTAGAATCCCCGTCCCCGGTTAACTCTTAGTCAAAATTGTAATTTTTAATTTTAAAAACTAAAAACCTAAATTTTAATTATATATATATATATATATATATATATATATATATATATATATATATATATATATATAACGCATCCCCGTTCCCCAAAAATTTTCTCCATTGGGGACGGGGCAAATTGCCATCCCTACTCCCAAAAGGTTGAATCCCCAACCCCTAGGGCTCCCCACATCTTAGCCCGAGTGAGCATTTGGGAGGATGTAAATTACGGCGACTCAATGGCTTAGCAGATAGGACCATATGCCGGTGGGCACAGGGGATATGCTCACTTTGGGCATAATCCCCACACTACCACTACCGAGGTTCGAACCTTGGTCTCTTCTCCCAAATACTGTTTACTGAACCAGTGAGCTAAGCCCGTGCGGGCATGCCACGTGTATTCTGTGTTGTATAGGTAACAGCTAATCTAAATGATTACAGTCTTCCTTACAATATTTCCCCACTATGGATTAGGAATTTGTTAGTTTCCAACAGTTTATAGTTGTACTTAAGCACAGTAGCACACCCTAATTAAATGGACGAATGTCGATCCGTGTTGTCTTTTTGAATCTTGTCCATTTAGACCAAGAATGTCTGCCCAGATTTGCATGTATCCCCCAATATTTTTTAAAATTTTTCTGGAAGATTAAATCATTTTAGATAAACCCAGGGGCTTTTGTTTGTTCCACTTGTCGATTTTAATGCTCCCACATTTGACTGAATCCAACCTGTTAGATACACCTTATCTTGTTATGCCGGCGAATTTTGATAGGACGGCAACTTTTTGTCTCACCCTAGCTTTAACTATCTTTTTATTTTAACACATGATATTTCAGGCCTCGCCAATAACAATAGAGGGTCGCCAAGCTGTAGTCGAGGAAAAGAGAACCACCACTAGAGGCATGTTTCAATTGATATTGTGTGACTTACTGCATTACGAAAATTTTAGGTTTTGATGACTGACCGACAATAACACCACCATTTGTGCAGTTGTGGGCAGCTCAAGAGGAGGGGGGAGGTACTCTTCTGGAAGAGGCGGGTTCCGGGGTGAAAGTTTCAGAGGCCGTGGAAACTTTGGTGGCGGGAGAGGCTATGGCAGGAGCGAGTTCAGGAACCAGGCTGATTTCGGTATTCGGTCAAAGGGGCGTAACGTTGAGACCTATAGGCGTGTAGACCAGAACGAGAGCACTCGTCAAGGAGGGATGAATAAGAACACAACTTCTGCGTAGTCGAAGCAATAATAAATTTTGCACACTTGATTAAGTTTTCCAAAAGTTCTGATTTAGTTGCTTTCATTAACCTCCCTCTTGTGACAATTGCCCCCAACCCCCCATGCTTTTTTATTTTTTTTCTTTGTTGAGTGATCCAGAGATCATTAGATGTTGAGGTTTACATGAGAGTCATATGTGAGTGTTTCTATTATTAGTAATATTTTTTTTGCTTCCATTTTAAGCTTAGGCTAGATACACGTTTGATAGGAATTGTATTTTTTTTAAAAGAAAATAATCTCTCTTTAATACAATTTTGTGTTCTATGAAAGTCCTGACCTATTGAAGCTTTGGCCTAAGTTTCCATTTGGTATGTCGGAATTGGGTTATAATAAAATCCCAATTTGGGTGTAATTTGTTTGCCTATTGTATGGGGTTGTGATTTCTGGGGTTGATTATTCCCCTTTTATGCCTAAGACACCTATCTCTTTTGCTGAGCAAATGCCACACAAACTTGTGACAACTTAAATTGTATTGATACGGCACTCAAAATAGCTTTTCGCAAAATTGACTACTGCCACACAAATCAAGACCCTAACTCTATTACAAAAACTGACTGACTTATGAGGGGAGATTTGACTCCAATTTAAGTACATCTTCACAATCTTTTGTTAAGTCGATATAAAATTGTATAATTGTTCACCCCTTGAGAAGTTGACGTACGAGGCGAATTACTCTAGACAACTAACACTCTGAACTCTTTTCGCTACCAAGTAGTCCTTTTTCCCTTTGGATGATTTAACTCTAGACTTTATCAAACATCAGGTAGTCTTTTCTTAGATTGCAGGTTTTGCCTTTGGATGATTTCACTCTAAACTTTATCAAACATCAGGTAGTTTTTTCTTAGATTGCAGATAAGTGAACGACTTCACTCTGAATAGCTTTCAGGGCTGGCCCTGAGGCATGGGCAGGCTGGGCCCCTGCCCAGGGCCCATCCCTAGAGGGGGCCCATAAACTAAGATATAATAATATATTGTATATTGTATATATTACTTAGTATATATTAGAAAAAATTATTTAATTATTTTTTACTTAATGAATTCTTATGGAAGTCAAATAGATGGAAGATTCATGAAGAATTGAAGAAAAGAGGCATCAGCGCATCGCAAGTCGCAACCATTCAATACCTCTCCGCCACAGCAACCGTTCAATTCCTCTCAAGCTAAATAAGAATGGGAAATTGAGGGGTGTGGTGGGCCCTTAGGGTTGGGGATTCAACCTTTTAGGAGGAAAAGAATGGGCAATTGAGTGAATCGATAATCTACTTTCATAATCCACAAATAACAAATTTTCTCTGCGGTCAGCCGGTCCTGACTCTGTTCGCCGCGCCTTCACCACTCCGATCTACAATTGTAATTTGCAAAGATATTTTAATTTTTATGATCTGAGATTTTTTTTTTTGAAAGCTATGATTTAGGAATTAGGCCGTATTGTTGAAAAGTCTATGATTTGATCATTTAAGAATTGGGATTTGCAGAATTGTAGAATGCACTGCATTAGGAATTTGTAGAATTCTGATTTCTGAAAGCTCTATAATTTATTTAAGAATGATAATTTTTTATTGGGATTTTCATGGCTTAGTTTGCAGATTAAATAATTATCCATTTATCCAGAATTCTAAATTCTTAATTGTTAATTGAAATATTGAATAAGCTATTGTTAATTGGATGAGCTGTATTGTTGTATCTATTCCTTCTCAAAGTAAAATGACATTTGTCAGATGCCAAAGTAATTTTTTGGTTTAATTTACTAATTACTTTGCTTTAGTGATTCATATTGTCTCTTTTTAATCTTTGTGGATGTCTCCTGTTGAATGTTGATGTCCAAATATTAATGGGGATTTATTCGGAATTAATTGACCTATATGTTATAATTTCATTTATTTATGCAAAATATTAATTTTTATTTTTGCAGGGATTGAATGACATGAATATTTTTGTATTTAAAAAAATTGTTGAAAATTTTATAATCTTATTTCATATTATTTGACATCATGATTTTATTAGTATTATTAAATTTAAATTTAAATTTTTCATATAAGGGCCTTTTTTTTCAATTTCGCCCCGGACCTATAAAATGCTTGGACCGGCCTTGATAGCTTTCAGGGTAAACTCTTCTCCATTCTCTTTGAACCTAAAAGATGTCAAATCTTTAGGCTCATCATGAATCAACGACAACAAACTTTTCACCCTCAAACACCTCAACAAACTTTAGGCAAATAATGTTTCTCTTGGCAATGGCATTACACCAACCCTAGATCTAATAATGTCATGATTGATGATGGATTTGCTCTACCAATCACTCAGCTCATAACTATTATACCCATAACTTCATCTATTTTTACTTTACCAAGTTCACGGACGTGTCCGTTACAAGTTCACGAACGCGTTAATTACATGTTCAAGAAAGCTAAACAAACAAACACATATACATGTTCATGATCATAATTTGGTTATGAACAAGAAATAGTCTATGCTCAGCTCACGAACAATAACCACACAATCAATATAAAGACAATAGAAAATTAGGCTAAACTAAAGTAGTATCTTAAAATTAAAAATAAAATAAATTACACTTAAATGAGTATGTTAAACTAATACTAAACGAGCATGTTCATGAACATTATTAAATGAACACTAAACGAGTATATTCATAAACATTATTGAACGAACAATAACAAATGCGTTCATGAACTCTTAGCAAATGGACATACAAATATTCAGACTCTATTCGTGTATTAAACGAGTTCTAAAATTTATTCATTTATGTTTGTTTACCTTAAAAAACAGACGTTTATCAAACACAAACATGAGTAATTTATCAAAAATTTTATTTGCTAATACCCCTAATAGAACTGTATAAGTAGTGGATAGTAGGTAGTTTATATAATCTAGTATATATAACTACCTATGTAAATTTTCAAAAAAAAAAAAAAAAAAAAAAAACTACCTATGTAAATGAAGAAAGATATACCTTTTTTTTTTTTTTTACATAAAAAAAAATACCGAATATAAATATAAAAATAAATATATAAAAAGTTAAGGAAAAGAAAAAAAAAAACGGGAATGAATCTTTGAATTCCGAAAATGCCCTTTCTTTAGGTAGCTCTCTGTACAAAATATCACCTTCACGTAAATCTTTAGCCCCTTCGCAAAGACTTCAAAGTTCAAACCCTAAGTTTGCTTTCTCGCTTTCCCTGCATTTGTGAGTTTCAATGGCGGACGCTGTGATATCGTTGGAGAAAGTCAAGGCTTTCTTGCACTCTCAGGTGCACGATGAGGAGAAGTGGAATCATAACATGGTAATTTCTTCGCTATTTAATTTGTATCCGGTTTTACTTAATCTATTCTTTTAGGCTTTATAGTTTGAAAAATTGCGCAGCAGAAACTCCTAAATTGTACAAATGATTTATCGTTTTATCTATTCACAAAAAGCCTAGAGATATGAATTTTTTCATTTTTTTGTTAATATTAAATTAAGAACTGGTGTGGTTGTGGGTTGTGGTCATTGCGAGCGTTCGGTTTACATTGCATTAGAGCGATGCTCTCACCTCTGTGTTATTTCAGAACTTGTGTGGTTTCGGGTTGTGGTTTTATGAAGTGTTTATTTTGATTTGCATAAGAGCGATGCTCTCAAATTTGTGTTATGGTTCCTTGTTTTGATGGTACTGGTGATAATCCTTCAATTGATGGTAATTTGGGTAGGTTTAGGTACAACAATAGCTTGCATTGTTTCCCATTGTTTAGATGATGCATAGTGTAATGTAATGTGCCTACTTAAAATCTAGGGAGCTGTCTGCCGATGGGTTCGTCGATTAGTTTAAGTGTTGCTCTTTGATGGAAGCTAGGAATCCATGAAAAAAAAGCTTTGATTGAGCATGTTTGTGAGCATCAAGTGATTCAGAATTCAGATTGGTGGTTGGTTTGAAACTATATACTTGGTGGATGTAACTGGTTGCTTATAAATAAAATCTTAGTTACATGATTTAAACATATTGTTTAAGCTCTCTTCGTCATCATCCTAAATAAGTATCCCTGTGTTCAATAGTTTGGCCGCTCTGGCCCCGGTTGTGGAAAGAGTTGAGGCAAACGGCATGCATTTCTTCTATCTGTTTCTATAGTCCATGTTTTTGTTGATTAAATGTAAGGCTTGGTTATAGCGTAGTTATTTGTAATGGACTAGCATGACATGGTTAGAGCCATAGTTGCATAGAAGTGAAATATGCTTTCTGTCGGACAGTCAGATACCATCATGTATGTGTCCCTACAGCCCTACTCCTTGAGCCATTGCAGTGCTATCTAGAATAAGATGAATTATTATTAAATTTGTTTGGAACTTTGTTGCATTGTTTATTCCTAATCTTTGGCTATGATCTTAAATTGCACACAGCATATCCTGTCAATATAGTTATATTTTCAAGTTCGGATTTCTCTTTATGCCTCCTGTGTTTATTACATCATAGTTTTGTTTTGGATTACTAAGTATGATCTATAATACTTACCTTACCTACACAAATAGTTTTTTTCTCTGTTTTATTTATGTTTCCCCATTCAACCTTTTCACAGAAAGTGCTTCGAGCGCTGGGACTCTTTGCTGGCTCCATCGTTCTGATGCGCCAGTATGGTGATATGATGGCTGTCTAAAGATGGATGATGGGTATCTTTTGTCAACTTCTAGCCCAGTCGAGTAGATTTTAGCATCTTTGTTTTTCATTACCCTTTTCCGCTTCTGGATGAAGTACACATTTACACATTGTTGTGTGTGAGACACTGTTTTGGCGGTAGATTTGAGCTTTAAGCATCCGATAGAAATGGGTTTTTGATGCTTAAATTCTAGTTTTTATATTTTAACAGTGTTAAAAGTGTTTCAAGGTTGTCTCTTCAAAATCCTTTATTTGCTTTCACTTTCTATTATGTATTAGTCTCTAGTCTCTACTTACTCCTTGCCTTTGTGTGCGAGTTGCTTGCATCATTGCATCGTTGGTCTCTCTTTTTTTTTTTTTTTACTTGCAAAATTGCTTGTGACTTTGGTTGAACAAGTTATTTTCAATAATCCGTTTCTAGTGGCGTTTGAGAGAAATGCTGCTTTCAAATTTTTTTTGCATCAAGTTGTATTTTAAATGATGTGGTTTTACTGAGAAATATATATTAAAATAGAAGGGTCATTTTTCGGCCCATCCTAGACAAAGAATTTGATTTTGAAATTTTAAATCAGTCAAATTAAGCTTTATTATACTACTACATAATTAAAATACATACCAAATCAATTCATTAGCCTCCAATTAGAATTTCATTTTCATTAATGTTAAAATTTGAGCAAATACCAATTCTAATCCTACGAGTATTAGCAAAATTATAATTTGAAAAATTAATTTTATGGCTTAAATTTCTTTATTCATGTTCAAATTGGGAATAGTTTCATATTTTGACATATCTGAAACGAAGGAATGAATGCCATAAGCTTAAAATTATTATAAAATGCATATAATTTTGAGTAAATAAGTCAGCTTCTATATTGTTTTCGAGTGCACATTTGTCCTTAGCCAGTTTTTGTATTGTTTCTGAGTGCACATTTGTCCTTAGTTAGCTTGTGTATTGTTTTCGAGTGCACTGTTGTCCTTAGTCAGCTTGTGTATTGTTTCCGAGTGCACATTTGTCTTTTTTCGAGTGCATATTTTCCCTTCTTCAAGTGCATACTTTTTCTTCTTCGAGTGCATCTATTTTGAGTGCACATCTTTGTGCCTTTGAGTGCAAATCTTTTGGCTTTCAAGTGCATGTTTTCTTTTCTAAGAGTGCATAATTAATTTCCTTCGAATTTTTTCTTTTTGTGTCTTTTTTTTTTTTTTTTTCTCTTGCCTTCTAATGATCCTCTTTATGCTTTCAAGTGCTCAATTTAATGCCTAAAAATGTATGTGTTTTACTATTGTGTAAAAAATAAAAAAATAAAAACTTAGCATTCAAGTGAACCCTTTTTTCCTTCGGTGCATATTTTATGCTTTCAAGTGCACAGTTTTATGCCTTCAAGTGCACAACTTATGGGCAGTATTTGTACATATTACTAAATTTCTAATGGAATTTGTGAGATTTACAAACGATTTGTATGGGTAATTGGTTTAATAACACTTAAGTTGAATAACCTCCCTTTTTGGCACTGTAAATTGCATCAATTTCACATCTATTTACTTTTAAATGCAACTTTTTTGCCTTCAAGCGCATGGTTTTAAGTCTTTAAGTGTACATACCGCATTTTCGCACGAGAAGTGGTATGTGCACCTGATCTTAAACCTCTCTCTCTCTCTCTCTCTCTCTCTCTCTCTCTCTCTCTCTATATATATATATATATATATATATATATATATATATATATATATATATATATATATATATATATATATATATATATATATATATATGTATATATATATATATGACCAAAAACCACCAAAAAAAAACCCCCCAACCATTGTGGATGCTCCAATAGTAAAATAACGTCTTGTAATTTTAATCTAAATTATTAATAACTGATTCTTTTTCAATTTTTTCAAAATATTCCTTACATTCATATTCATTAGATTAATAGTAAAATTACACGTAGAAATAATTTTAGAACATTATGGCTTCTCGAATTACGGATTCTTTTATATTTTTCCATTTTTTTTACTACTAACCTTATTATTATTAAGTTTTTGGGTGGGAAGTTTAAAAGGAAGATTTTGTTTTTAATAATAGTATTGAAGTATTGATGGGAGTATTGACGGAATAATATTGTTGAATAGGAATATGAATTTTAATGTTATTGTATTGTATTAGGAATATGAATTTTAATGTAGAATTGTAGTACGAATAGAAAGTAGGAAACAATATATTCTATTAGAAATTGTATTATATTATTTTACAATATTACGCGAACGTTAATTGTATAGGACTGTTTTGGTCAAAAAATTGAAATAGATAATTTTGTTTTTATTAATAGTATAGTTGTTGATCATTTAACAGTCTTAGTCATTATTTTTATCACATATCAAAATTTCCAAATCTTTATGTTTTAAATATTTTACAACCTCTGTAAGTATTGGTATTTACTTACAAAGATTAAGAGTAGGGATGAAATAAAGGGATCGTTATGCTGTGCGTCCATATGCACCATGCATGGTGCATACGGATGCAAAAACGACGTCGTTTTATTAAAAACGCGCGTCCCACTTTTAAAAAAAAATCAGTTTCGATTCCCCTCAACAGGATTATGTTGTTCATTCATTCTGGATTTTTAGTTCATAGATTCTTGATTTTTAGTTCATTGATTCTGGATGTTTAGTTCATTGATTCTGGATTTTTAGTTCGTTCATTAATTCTGGATTTTTAGTTCATTGATTCTGGATATTTAGACGTAAATCGAAACTGATTTTTTTTTCCATTCATGCTGGATATTTAGTTCATTCATTATGGGTATTTAGTTCATTCGTTATGAATTTTTAGTTCATTCATTCTTTATTTTTAGTTCATTCATTCATTATGCACAATATAATGTTGTTGCTGGCCATTGCCGCCGCCCTCGTTCCAAGCCGTTTGAGGTCCAAATCTGGACCTCATGTTTGACAGTCGTGGCTGTCTGTGAAATACGCAGCCACCAGCTGTCCGGCGCGGACAGACGGTGGCTGATTTTTTTTTTTTGTTATATATATATATATATATATATATATATATATATATATATATATATTAATAATTTAATAGACAACCTGCAAAAAAAATCAATCGTACAAATTTAGCTGGTACATGGCCTCATTTGACACTTAATTTAGTTCGTGGTGGGAATTGAGCACTTCGCAGTAGTATATGAGCCTATTTGACACTTTTGCCTTAATTATAAAATTAGCTCTATGGTCCTGTGTGGTAAATGACTGTTAGATGTTAGCTAATTGGGTTAATTAGAGGGTTAACTAGTTGATAACATTAGCTGATTGTAGAAAGTTGTTTGGTAAATTAGCTGTTAGCTGATAGCCGTTTGGTATAATTTCTTTTCTTAAAAAGTTAATTGAAAAAGTTATTTTGAGTAGTTTTTTGATTTTAGCATTTTTAAACTACAAAAAGCTAATTAACCAAACACTTATATTGATTTTTTAACTAAGGCCCTGTTTGGTAAATGGCTGTTAGCTAATTGTGTTCATTAGAGGGTATAATTAGTTGATAACATTAGCTGTTGTAGAAAAATGTTTGGTAAATTAGCTGTTAGCTGATAGCTGTTTGATATAATTTCTTTTCTAGAAAAACTAATTGAAAAAGTTGTTGTGAGAATGCATTCGCTCCCTGCGATTTAGGGTTCCGGCATTGGCTCTCCCTGTGTTCTAGGGTTCCGGCGTTCCTAGGGTTTAGACTTTCGTTTTCCGACTGAACATCATTCGTGCGAGGATGAATCTACGAGAGCTTGTTGCATCAACGGCAGACATGAACCTGGAGGATGATGCGGATGGAGTGCGGTTTGAGGAGGAGATGTTCGAAGGTCCGGCGCAGCCGATATGCGAACAACGTGGACGTTGATCGGGAAGTTCTTGACCGATCGAATTCTCAAGGTTGAGGTGATGAAGAGGGTCATGGCAGCAGCTTGGCGGCCTCTCATGGGAATAGAGATAACAGATGTGCTCCCGAATCTGTATCTCTTTACGTTTTTTGACGAAGCCGATATGCGCCGGGTGTTGGAGGAGGGGCCATGGGCGTTCGAAAACACAACACTTATTTGTCAAATTCTCGAGGATGGAGTCGATCCAACGCAAGTGGTGTTGAACACTGTGGATTTCTGGATACAGGTCTACGATATTCCGTTGGGTTATCGAACGGTGAAGGTGTTAGAACGGATTGGTGATTTTGCGGGGGTGTTTAAACGGTATGATGAGCGGAACTTTGAGAGGTCATGGACCTCGTTTTACCGGATACGCATAACGCATGATGTGACGGCTCCGTTAAAACGACGTATGAAGATGATTATGCGAGATGGGACATGGACTTGGATAAATTTCAAGTACGAGCGCCTGCATATGTTCTGTTTCTTCTGTGGAATAATGGGACACACTGATAAGTTTTGTTTAGCGGCTCGACGTTCTTTGTTAACCCCGGATCAGTACATGTTTGCTGCGACATTGAGGGCGGGGGGTAATAGTCAAGCCAAGCACATAGGGGATAAATGGTTCAAACTAGGACAAGAAAGGAGAAAAGAAATTGGCTTTGGGATGGGGGGTTACGGGCAGAATGGTGGGGCAGTAGGGAGGGAGGAGTTGACCGGGTTAGGGGGTCGGGCCGTGGAAGTTGGGGTGACGGGAAAGGGTGGGATGGGGCAGTCGGAAAGTGCAAGGGAGAGGGAGGTTGCTGGGGAGGGTGAGGGGGTGAGGGTGGATCCAAAAAGACGGAGAACGGATGGTGAGGCTGGGAGGGGAGTTGTCGTGGGTGTGGGTGTGGAATCGGATGGTCCGAGCTCGGTACCATCGGATGATGCGGGATGTGGGGTAGGCCGAGGAGGTGAGGGAGTTGTGGAGGAGGATATAACGATGACAGACGTACAAAAAAACTTGCGAATGGCGGGTGCTGCAGTGCAGACCCGCCCATCCCAATGAGCACTCTGAGCTGGAACTGCCGTGGCTTGGGTAATCCACGGACAGTTCGGGAAATTGAGGACATGGTGTCCCGTAAGAAACCCGACTTTGTATTTTTGATTGAGACCAAGGTTAACCGGGATCATGCAGAACGACTTCGGGTAAAACTTGGTTTTGATGGTCTTTTGAATGTGGATAATTCTGGATTGAGTGGTGGCTTGGCAATATTATGGAGGGCGAATGATACAGCAACTGTGATAGGTTATTCTGATAATCATATTGACGTGGAAGTGAGTATGCCGGGATTTGATAAATGGAGGATGATTGGGTTCTATGGCTTCTCAAAACGACCACAGAGAAGGGAGTCATGGGATCTTATTCGTGCGTTGGCAGGAAAGTCGGATCTGCCATGGGTAATCATTGGAGATTTTAATGATCTCTTATACCAGTGTGAGAAACGAGGAGGGAATCCTCATCCGGACAGCTTGTTGAGGGGTTTTGGAGAGGCAATTGAGGAGTGTGGCTTGACACAATTACCGATGTCTGGGTATCCCTTTACTTGGGAAAAAGGGAAGGGAACTCCAAACTGGATCGAGGAAAGGTTGGATAAGGTTTTGGCCACGCAAGATTGGAGAGAGCTGGTAACCGATGCAAGTGTGCAGAATATTTTAACCAGAAAGTCAGATCACTCGGCTCTTTTCCTTGGGATTCTGAATCTTCGGGAAAGGAGGGGGGGGGGGGGGGTCTGAGAAGAGGTTTTAGATTTGAGATGGCATGGTTACATGATGAAGGATGTCGAGCGGTGGTAGAAAAATCGTGGGACGAAGGAAGAGGTAGGGGATTGCAGGAATGTGTCACATTGTGTGGTAACCGGTTAACGCGCTGGGGTGGAGACCGATTCCACAAGTTTGGTGAAAAAATATTGTGCTTACGGAAGGAACAGTTACGCCTCAGAGGATGTACAGATCCAGTATCCCTAGCTGAATTCCAGAGATTAGAAGAGTGTTTGACACGTGTTGAGTTGCAGGAGGATACTTATTGGAGGCAGAGGGCCAAGCAGCACTGGCTCAAGGATGTGGATGCAAACACCAGGTTTTATCACAGGTATGCTTCTAATCGAAAGAAAAAGAATTCTATTGCTAAAATAATGAATGATAGTGGGGATTGGATTGAGGGTGATGCCATGAGAAATATCATCTTGGATTACTATCGAGGCATTTTTAAATCGAGCTCTCCTACAATTAATGATGAATTCTTTGCGACTATACAACCGCGTGTAACGCCAGTACAGAATGAGGGGTTATTGCGCCCTTTTGAAGTAAGTGAGGTAAAATCTGCATTATTCTCAATGTATCCTGATAAAGCACCAGGACCGGACGGGATGAATCCAGGATTCTATCAGCATTTCTGGGATGTGGTGGGAACTGATGTCTCTTCGTATATTATGAATTGCTTGAATACTGGCTCATTTTCGAGTAAGCTGAATGAGACGAATATTATTTTAATCCCGAAGAAGAAAAACCCGGAGATGGTTTCTGATTATAGGCCAATTGCTTTAAGCAATGTGATCTACAGGATTATGGCTAAAGTTATTACTGCCAGAATGAAACCATTAATGGAGAATATCATATCTGAATCCCAAAGTGCGTTTATCTCTGAGAGATTAATTACGGATAACATACTGATAGCTGCGGAGGTGGGACATTACCTGAACAGGAAACAATGTGGTTTAGCAGGTTGGGGGGCTCTAAAACTCGACATGGCGAAAGCCTATGACCGTATGGAATGGCCCTTTTTGGAAAGCATGTTAATGGCGCTGGGATTTGATGACAGATGGGTGAGACTACTGATGATGTGTGTGACCACTGTGTCTTATAACGTATTAATTAATGGTTCACAGACTGAACAAATTACTCCGACTCGGGGTTTACGGCAAGGTGATCCCCTATCGCCCTATTTGTTTATTATTTGTGCTCAAGGGCTTTCACTATTACTACAACAAGCGCAGGCAAAGGGGGAGATACATGGATGTAGAGTTGCTAGAGGGGCACCTTCTATTACCCATCTATTTTTTGCTGATGATAGCTTGCTTTTTTTCAAAGCAAATGCCCAAGAAGCAGGTGTGATTAAAAGTTGTCTGAAAAAATATGAAAAAATGTCTGGTCAAGCTGTCAACTATCACAAATCGAGTATTTGTTATAGTAAGAACACAAGAGATGAAACGCGGGATGAGGTGGCCAATATATTGGGGGTGGTGCAGGCACAGAATTTTGGAAAGTACTTAGGGCTCCCATCATTTGTGGGCAGAAACAGAAGGGCAGCTTTTGCTTATATTGAGGATAAGATAAGACAGCGGATTAGTTCGTGGAATAAAAAACTCTTGTCACAAGCAGGGAAAGAAGTCCTATTGAAAAGTGTGGCTCAATCTATGCCTACCTTCTCAATGAGTGTCTTTTTGCTACCGACCTCTCTTTGCGCTGCCATTGAGCGAACCATGAATCGATATTGGTGGAGGTCGAATAATGATCAGGGTATTCACTGGAAAGCTTGGGATAAGTTATGTATTCCAAAGAAATATGGAGGATTGGGGTTTAAAGAATTGAGAGCGTTTAACCTGGCTATGCTTGGAAAACAAGGATGGCGTTTCCTGACACAGCCACAATCATTAGTTTCAAGAGTTTATAAAGCCAGGTATTATCCCACTAATTCTTTCTATGATGCATGTTTGGGAAATAACCCGAGCTTTTGTTGCAGGAGTATTTTGGCAGCACAGGAATTGATTTGTGGGGGAGTTAGGAGGAGAATTGGAAATGGCCAATCAACATTGATATGGGATCATCCATGGTTGCATGATGGGTTACAACCGAAGATATTAACAGAAAAACCACCCCAATTGGCACAGGCGAAAGTAGTGGGTCTGATGGATCAACAGACACGAACCTGGGATAAAGATATTCTAACAGATATTTTCATACCTGAGGATATTGAGCGAATTCTGAAAATACCTGTGTCACCAGATTATGAGGATTTGTGGTACTGGTATGGGGATCCAAGAGGTGAATATTCTGTTAAGAATGGATACAGAACAGTAGTTGGAGAATATAGCCAACAGGTTGTGACATTTGATAAATGGCAAAAGTTATGGAAGCTTAAAATCCCACCCAGGTGGAAAACATTTTTATGGAGAGCTCTAAATGATATTTTGCCCACTACAAAGAACCTACTTATAAAGAGGGTTGATATTGACCCAACATGTGCTATGTGTGGAATTGAACATGAAGATGTTGTGCACTCCTTGATCAAATGTACCTACACGGCAGCCATTTGGACACAATCCCACCTTCCAATCCCCAATAATGTTATAAATATTTTTGGAGATTGGTTTAATGATTTGATGAATGTTTTAGATGATGACGGGATTATTTATGCAGTGGCAATACTCTATTATATTTGGCGCACAAGGAATGGAGCTGTGTGGGATGCGTACTTACCCAGGCCTCGGAAAGTGGTTGTGATGGCGGCATCAGCTCTCAATGCTTGGAAGGCGGTTCACCACCGAACACCAACTCAGCCGATCCATGCTACCACAGTAGACCACACCATAGCAGTAACAACCGGTGCGGACGTGCCTATAGCCACGGCGTTACATACGGCTGCCACGCCCATCGTCACAGTACACCGACCGTAACTCTCTACGACATACACCGCGCGCAATGCTGTTCACGGCATGAGGGGAAAATGCTACTTCGATGCGGCTTACGATCCACAGACGAACAGGACAAGAATGGGAGCAATTATCCTAGACGGCCAAGGGAGTTATATTGCGGCCATGGCTACTACAGTGATAGATTGTTTTTCACCCCTAATGGCGGAGGCTGTTGCATGCAAGGAAGTATTGTCATGGTTGAGGAGTCGCGAAATAAACTCTATCGAGCTATACACGGATTGTTTGGTGCTTCAACAATGCCTGTCTTCTACGACACACTCGTCACGGGATTACTTGGGCTATGCCATTGATAGTTGCAGGACTAGTTTATCGACATTTGATTACTGTTTACTTCATTACATTCCTAGAGTAGATAATTATTTAGCTCATACATTAGCATCTACTACATTTACTGACTCGAATCCTATGTACTGGGATTCTGCTCCTCCAGCTTCTATTTCTGCATACTTCGAATAAAATGCCGTACAGGCTCTTTTCAAAAAAAAAAATTGAAAAAGTTGTTAGGAGTAGTTTTTTGAATTTTAGCACTTTAGAGTTGCAAAAAGCTAATTGAAAAAGTTGCTAGGAGTAACTTTTTGAATTTTAGCACTTGTAGAGTTGCAAAAAGCTAATTAACCAAACTATATATTGATATTTTAACTAAATCAAACAATTAATAGTGGTCAAATAAGTCAAAATTGACCTATAGGTTAATTTTTTACCAAACAAGACCTAAATCAAAAAATTAATAGTGGCCAAATAAGTTAAACTTGACCTATAAAATAGAGTTAATTCCAGCAATGGTCCTCCAACTATGTTGATTTTCCAAAATTAGTTCTTGACTTTTAATTTGGACATTTTACATCCCTTGACTTTCATTTTCTTTCCAATTGAGGTCCTTTCGTCAGATTACGGCAAATTGGACTTTAAATGAAAGGGTAAAGTAGTTATTTCATCGACCTAATGTATAATTCTTCGTATTTCTTCCATTTATACGCGACTTCGGACATCAATTCACTTAATTGCTTAATCCCTAATGGAATTTTGTTCTTAGAGTGGATTTAGGAATTAAGCAATTAAGTGAATTTGATGTCCGAAGTCACGTATAAATGGAAGAAATACAAAGAATTATACATTAGGCCGATGAAATAACTACTTTACCCTTTTATTTAAAGTCCAATTTGCCGTAATCTGACGAAAGGACCTCAATTGGAAAGAAATTGAAAGTCAAGGGACGTAAAATGTCTAAATTAAAAGTAAAGGACTAATTTTGGAAAATCAACATAGTCGGAGGACCATTGCTGGAATTAACTCT